TTATTATCACTGGCCGGTTCCCACCAGGGCAGGGTGGCCTGAAAAAGAAAAACTTTCACCATCATTCACTCCATCACTGTCTTGCCAGAAGGGTGCTTTATACTAAGGGTTGCTCGAGAATCAAAACGGGCTCTTTTAGCTTGCAACGACTTAAGATCATGGCCTGCAACATTGACCCCACCATGTTGGTTGTTGAAGTGTTCTTGCAGCTTAGATGGCTTCAAATCAGCGTTGGAGAAAACAATTCCCCAGATTATGCACTGAGGCTTTTGCAGATCCTTAGTCTTATCGTTGCAAGTGAAACCAAAACGAACGCAGTCATCATTCCATTTCCTTTTTCTTCGACATGAAGGGTTATGATGATAATCTGAAATAAAGAGATGAAAATAAAGATAATAATAATAATAATAATAATAATAATAATAATAATAATAATAATAATAATAATAATAATAATAAAGGGAAAGGGGACAAAAGAGACTGTAAAAATTATAGAGGAATAAGCTTACTGAGTATACCAGGAAAAGTGTACGGTAGGGTTTATAATTGAAAGAATTAGAGGTAAGACAGAATGTAGAATTGCGGATGAGCAAGGAGGTTTTAGAGTGGGTAGGGGATGTGTAGATCAGGTGTTTACATTGAAGCATATATGTGAACAGTATTAGATAAAGATAGGGAAGTTTTATTGCATTTATGGATTTAGAAAAAGGGATATGATAGAGTGGATAGAGGGAGCAATGTGGCAGATGTTGCAAGTATATGGAAAAGGTGGTAAGTTATTAAATGCTGTAAAGAGTTTTTTTTGAGGATAGTGAGGCTCAGGTTAGGGTGTGTAGAAGAGAGGGAGACTACTTCCGGTTTAAAAGTAGGTCTTAGACAGGGATGTGTAATGTCACCATGGTTGTTTAATATATTTATAGATGGGGTTGTAAAGGAAGTAAATGCTGGGTGTTTTGGGAGAGGGGTTTGGATTAAATTGGGGAATCAAATTCAAAATGGGAATTGACACAGTTACTTTTTGCTGATGATACTGGTTATGGGAGATTTTAAAGAAAAATTGCAAAGGTTAGTGGATGAGTTTGGGATGTGTGTAAAGGTAGAAAGTTGAAAGTGAACATAGAAAAGAGTAAGGTGATGAGGGTGTCAAATGATTTAGATAAAAAAAAATGGATATCAAATTGGGGAGGGGAGTATGGAAGAAGTGAATGTTTTCAGATACTTGGGAGTTGACGTGTCGGCGGATGGATTTATGAAGGATGAGGTTATCATAGAATTGATGAGGGAAAAAAGGTGAGTGGTGCGTTGAGGTATATGTGGAGTCAAAAACGTTATCTATGGAGGCAAAGAAGGGAATGTATGAAAGTATCGTAGTACCAACACTCTTATAGGTGTGAAGCTTGGGTGTAAATGCCAGCGCGAGGGGGACGGTTGGAGGCCAGCGGATGTCCTGTTTAAGGGCAATGTGTGGTGTAAATATTATGCAGAAAATTCGGAGTGTGGAAATTAGGGAGAAGGTGTGGAGTTAATAAAAGTATTAGTCAAAGGGGAGAAGAGGGGTTGTTGAGGTGGTTTGGTCATATAGAGAGAATGGATCAAAAGTAAAAATGACATGGAAAGCATATAAATCTATAGGGGAAGGAAGGCGGGGTAGGGGTCGTCCTCGAAAGGGTTGGAGAGAGGGGGTAAAGGAGGGTTTTTTGGGTTAAGGGGCTTGGACTTCCAGCAAGCGTGCGTGAGCGTGTTAGATAGGAAATGAATGGAGACGAATGGTACTTGGGACCCTGACGATCTGTTGGGGTGTGAGCAGGGTAAAATTTAGTGAAGGGATTCAGGGAAACCGGTTATTTTCATATAGTCGGACTTGAGTCCTGGAAATGGGAAGTACAATGCCTGCACTTTAAAGGAGGGGTTTGGGATATTGGCAGTTTGGAGGGATATGTTGTGTATCTTTATATGTTTATGCTTCTAGACTGTTGTATTCTGAGCACCTCTGCAAAAACAGTGATAATGTGCGAGTGTGGTGAAAGTTGAATGATGATGAAAGTATTTTCTTTTTGGGGATTTTCTTTCTTTTTTGGGTCACCCTGCCTCGGTGGGAGACGGCCGACTTGTTGAAAAAAAAAAAAAAAAAAAAAAAAGTAATAAATGAATCAATTTCCTGTTATTAAGCCGGACGCTTCTTGCACCTCCTGGAATGATGTCTCGCACCCCCAGGGGGTGCGAGCACCCCTGGTTGGGAACCCCTGCTATAGAGAGTGAGGGGATGCTGCATTTGGAGGGTAATTGATTGCAGTGTCACACATTTCTGGAAAGAGAGTGATTGAATTCTGGTGAGTGTGGTTTCTTTGGGTCACCCTACCTTGGCAGGACACAGCTGTTAAGATAAAAAACAAGGTCAGTACTGTCAGTCATATACTTCATGGTTCACATTACAGTACATTAAGTTACATTATCTACACTTCATTCTCAGTTCAGAAACAAATACAATGTTTACAAATGTGAGCTTTAGTCTCTATGAGGATTTATTGAAATCTTATGATCAGTAATTTTGGGCGTTGTATGTGGAAGAATCTCATAATGTGTTATTTAATGGTATAAGTTTGTAGTGCATGCAAAGGCAAAAACTAAATTTTGTGCGTTGTGTGTGTGTGTGAACGCACTTTTGTGTAGTGTGTGTGCATGCTTGCATGTCACATCACCTAACATCTTGAATTTCTTCACTATGGGGTCCTGTTTCCAAGAAAATACATGTTGGAGCAGATTTGAGTTAAGCATCCCAAAATTAGTCAGTAATGTGTTTTTAGATGTGAGCTGAAGTCTCTGTTGGCAAGCATTATTAATTGGGATAGTTGGTTTATGCTAATGTTTTCACACAAGTTGATACATATGGCACTGTGCTTTTTTTATAGTATTGCAGGGTACAAACTTAAAGAAAGAGATGGTTCCATCGTGTTGTCAGATGGAATGTGTCTACTGCATACTCTTGATTTAACGACCTCATTTTAACGGACTTCTGAAATACAAGATGTAATCTACTGGGCCAGTTGATTTGGAAAGAAGGGAGAAAGTCCGCTAGTTAGGAAATTGTATATTATTGTTACTATGATAGTAATAATAATGGAGACCACTATCTCCATTACCGGCCATTTGCTTCCTTCTATTATTCGGTTAAATTGAGGGTTTACCGTAATTAAATATACTGTCTGTTGTAAATGCCATTACTTTTCTTCAGAACTGATATTTTATTTTTATATATATACAGTGGACCCCCGACTTACGAACAGCTCCCAACTCGAACAATTATGTAAGTGTATTTTTATAAGTGCTTTTGTAAGTATTTTTGGGGGTCTGAAACAGACTAATCTAATTTACAATATTCTTTATGGGAGTAAATTCGTTTGGTAACGGCACCCGAACAGCCTTCTGGAACGAATTAATATCGTAAGTCAGGGGTCCACTGTATATATTTTTTTTACAGCCGCCTTGTACCGAGGCAGGGTGACCCCCCCCCCCCCCAAAGAAAAAAAAAGTTGTCCTCTTTTTATATTTAGTAAAGTATACAGGAAGAGACGTTACTAGCCCCTTGCTCCCAGCAGTTTAGTTGCCTCTTACGACATGCATGACTTACAGAGGAAGGATTCTTCTCCACTTCCCCATGGAGATTTTATAAATGTAATAAAATTTTTTCTTTCAGCTCATGTATTGGGTGAGATACCACAGGCATTCCACAGGATTAGGTGGAACAGCTGTTGTTAAGGTTAAATAAAGTGCGTCGAGCAGGTGTACACGCTAGATGCACAACAAAATATGTTGGAAAAATGTACAGTTGTCTTAATATTCACTTGGAGTTATGTTCCTAGAGGTCCACAAAAATAAAAGCCGTGAATAATACAAAATTATACATATCTACATAGCAAAGCTGGGTTCATTACTGTAGTCTGGTTAATATTGACATAAATAAAAAAAATAATGATGGAAATGGAAAATTTGGGTGTGAGAATGCCATTGAGCCACAGAAACAGATAATTTAATCTATTTGCTAGTTGTCCCCCTCTAAAAACAACGGTTAATTGACCTGCAAATACAGAAGACCTCAAGTTTGTAGAGATGACTTTAGTAGTGTATTGTTATACAGGATTAGAATTTGTATAGATCAGTTTATTTGATAGTGTTGAAATGATCTACACTGAACTCTGCAGTAATGGAATTATTTAAAATTAATTATTTTAAAGTTAACATGTTAACATCTACAGAGTGTGTGTATTCGCTGTACTTTTAAAATTTTGATGTAAATTGATAAAAAAAAATGGAGTATAGCTATTTGAAGCCTCCTTGATGAAAACGTTAATACAAGGGGATTGTAGAGAAAAGTAATAAGTACCATGTCAACAGTCCAGTGTGTTTGTGGAATAAGTTTAACAAGCTTTCTGATGTTTTGCCAGACACATGGAAAGCATGTAGATATAAGTGCGACTTGAGAGACATGTAAGTGATCCGTTTTTGTGATTATATATTATAGGTGGTGATAGGCAGATGTGCAGTTGAAAATATTTTGTAAAGACCTGGTAAAATTGAGGTGTTATTAATTTGTTTGTAGTATTTTTTTTTAAATTGAAGTGTTGTTAATTTATTTGTTTATATTTTTTTCCAACACGCCGGCTGTCTCCCGCCAAGGCAGGTGACCAGAAAAAGAAGAAAGCTAAAGATTTTCTTCTTTTTACATTAAGTAACTTATACAAGAGGAGGAGTTTCTATAGTATTACCTGTTTTATTTATTTGTGTTCAGTGATCTAGGGAATTGATAGTGTATGAAGAGCTGTGTAGTTGTTGGTATGAGTGTAGTGTGTGCCTCGGTGTAGCCATTAGATATTCTAACCACTTCTCTCTAAAACATGAGTAGCTTAGAGAATGACAAGTGTGTGTGTGTGTGTGTGTGTGGGTGTAATAATTGGATATGTTGCTTATAGAATCGTGTAGCTGATGCAATGCTGATGCTCCAGGGTGCGAGTCAAGACACGGGTGACGAGTCGAATATGACTCCAGGGACCAGCAGTGATTCTCCCTTAACGTCCTCGCATTCACAAGGTATGTAACCCTTAATGAGTTGCCTTTGGAAGAGTTTTGTATAGGAATATCTATAGGAATAAAGCCAAACACATATACCAATACCTTGATTATCAGGATGTTCCAGAATTGGAATTAAAAGCAGATAAATAAAAATATCTTCAAAATTGGATAAAACACATGCTGGGTCAGCAGTGTTGTCACACATTTGACCGTGTATGTATTTGACTTCCAATTTATGCTCATACAAAGACAGAAAAGTTTTTCATTACTGTTCAGGAGGAAGCTTGTTGAGAATAGGCATTAATAGATTCTTTGAATTAGGCAAGGGTAGTTATTAAAGCTGTCAGATAATCAATTATAGAATTTTTAGCATATGGTTATGGCTCAAGCCAAGAAGGAAAAAGTTGAGTTTATTATAATCAGTGAACCAGACTCAAAACTGAATGGTTGAGTTACATAGTGTAGTTTTGTGTTCGTGACTTTTAAGTACTTGTATACAGGTATAATATTTGTTGTTAAACAATTGACAAGATACTTACATGCCATTATATACTCAAAGAACATATCGTGAGGGAATCCACATAGACAAAACCCTTCCCACCATGTTCACTATCACCTTCGTGATAAAATGTAGTCGGATATTGTAACCTGCCTCGCATGGCTCTACGTGCATAAATCATAACACTTTTTTTAATAAAGATTTTTTTTAGATAAAAAAGTGATTTTGCAGTTATTCACCCAAAAATAGTAACTAGCATTTGTCTCGAAGTTTTTGTTTATTTTATTTCATTAGCGTATATAAAAGTATTTACGATTGACTTTGATTGCTCATGGAGGCACTGCCATGGGGATTAGAGAGGATATCCATATTTACATTATGTTCCTTTATATTGGGTATGCCTACACTAGTTCTGGTTTACTCAGTTATTTTCACCTCAAAATTGCCCTTAGAATTAGTATTGGTTTTATATCCTTTTGTCTTTAAATATTTCATGCTCCTGCTATTTTTAGCAGTGGTATGTAGTTTAACTGGTGTGTTGACCATTTTGTAGTTATAGAAGCAGAGCTGTGCGCGTAGTATCCCAGCATCGGTACTTTATCTGGTAAAGTTTTCACTGATTTTCAATAGTACCTTTTGGATCTTGGTTTAGTGTTCCGCTTGTGAAGAAAAACAGAAAAACTTCCCAATATAGTTTCACAGCTGCTTTTTTCTCAGTCTGCCAATTTTATCCTTTTTTTTTTTCTCTTGGTGGTGCTAAGGTAACTTATTCTCCCAGATCCTTTTATTATCTTGGACATGTATGTTATTATCATGTCTAGTTTTCTTCCTGTGGACGAATAAGGATATTTTTAGTGCTTTCATTTTATCATAACTTTTTATTACCACAAGGAGCCAACTTTGTAGCATGTTAGGACTTTTTAGCATTTATGCACATATTTTTTAAGTGCAGACACAACACTACAGCCGCACATTCAAGTGCAGACACAACACTACAGCTGCACATTCAAGTGCAGACACAACACTACAGCTGCACATTCAAGTGCAGACACAACACTACAGCCGCACATTCAAGTGCAGACACAACACTACAGCCGCACATTCAAGTGCAGACACAACACTACAGCTGCACATTCAAGTGCAGACACAACACTACAGCCGCACATTCAAGTGCAGACACAACACTACAGCTGCACATTCAAGTGCAGACACAACACTATAGCCGCACATTCAAGTGCAGACACAACACTACAGCTGCACATTCAAGTGCAGACACAACACTATAGCCGCACATTCAAGTGCAGACACAACACTACAGCTGCACATTCAAGTGCAGACACAACACTATAGCCGCACATTCAAGTGCAGACACAACACTACAGCTGCACATTCAAGTGCAGACACAACACTACAGCTGCACATTCAAGTGCAGACACAACACTACAGCTGCACATTCAAGTGCAGACACAACACTACAGCTGCACATACAAGTGCAGACACAACACTACAGCTGCACATTCAAGTGCAGACACAACACTACAGCTGCACATTCAAGTGCAGACACAACACTACAGCTGCACATTCAAGTGCAGACACAACACTACAGCTGCACATTCAAGTGCAGACACAACACTACAGCTGCACATTCAAGTGCAGACACAACACTACAGCTGCACATTCAAGTGCAGACACAACACTACAGCTGCACATACAAGTGCAGACACAACACTACAGCTGCACATACAAGTGCAGACACAACACTACAGCTGCACATACAAGTGCAGACACAACACTACAGCTGCACATTCAAGTGCAGACACAACACTACAGCTGCACATTCAAGTGCAGACACAACACTACAGCTGCACATTCAAGTGCAGACACAACACTACAGCTGCACATTCAAGTGCAGACACAACACTACAGCTGCACATACAAGTGCAGACACAACACTACAGCTGCACATTCAAGTGCAGACACAACACTACAGCTGCACATACAAGTGCAGACACAACACTACAGCTGCACATTCAAGCGCAGACATAACACTACAGCTGCACATTCAAGCGCAGACACAACACTACAGCTGCACATTCAAGTGCAGACACAACACTACAGCTGCACATTCAAGTGCAGACACAACACTACAGCTGCACATTCAAGTGCAGACACAACACTACAGCTGCACATACAAGTGCAGACACAACACTACAGCTGCACATACAAGTGCAGACACAACACTACAGCTGCACATACAAGTGCAGACACAACACTACAGCTGCACATTCAAGTGCAGACACAACACTACAGCTGCACATACAAGTGCAGACACAACACTACAGCTGCACATTCAAGTGCAGACACAACACTACAGCTGCACATACAAGTGCAGACACAACACTACAGCTGCACATACAAGTGCAGACACAACACTACAGCTGCACATTCAAGTGCAGACACAACACTACAGCTGCACATTCAAGTGCAGACACAACACTACAGCTGCACATTCAAGTGCAGACACAACACTACAGCTGCACATTCAAGTGCAGACACAACACTACAGCTGCACATTCAAGTGCAGACACAACACTACAGCTGCACATTCAAGTGCAGACACAACACTACAGCTGCACATTCAAGCGCAGACACAACACTACAGCTGCACATTCCCATTTTGATCTAAACTACAATCTGAAAGTATTTGAAGCATATTTTGAAATTTGCCATGTTAGCGTATACATTTCTCACTACTTCATTAATGTCATCTTATGGGGACTTCTAATATTTATCACATAATCTCTTTATGTGGCCTGTTACTGCTGTCCCCCAATTTTATTCCATGGCTTTTATATACGTTAAATTCTGTCATTCTTCTGTCACTCTTGTAAGGAGGAGTTTTCAGTCAATTTTACTACTAGCTTATCTTGTCACTCTTGTAAGGGGGAGTTTTCAGTCAATTTTACTACTATACGTGCTTATCTTGTCACTCTTGTAAGGGGGAGTTTTCAGTCAATTTTACTACTATACGTGCTTATCTTGTCACTCTTGTAAGGGGGAGTTTTCAGTCAATTTTACTACTATACGTGCTTATCTTGTCACTCTTGTAAGGGGGAGTTTTCAGTCAATTTTACTACTATACGGGCTTATCTTGCACATGATTTTTTGCATCATTAGCATTTTTTTTTTTTTTTTTTTTACTGGCCATCATCTGCCAAGGCATTGTGACCCAAAGAAGGAAACAGTCACCGTCATTCATTCAATCATTTTCATGCCAGAAGTGTGCTGACACCACAGTACACAATACCCTCCAGTTCATTTGGTTCTTTATTCATCCATGAAAGCCATTTTTATAGACTAGAAACATCAAGGCATGTACAAATTCTTGTGGCACCTTATGGTGACATTTTACTTGGGCACATTGTTTTCCTTTCCTTACTGTTCATTATTTCTTTTATTAAAAAGCTAGAAAATCTCTCAATTATTATAATACATTAGTTTGTCCTTAATGCCACGTTTGTTTTGTAGTATCCAGATGAGTCTTTCGTGGAGAACTTTTTTTTTTTTTTTTTTTTTTTTTTTTTTTTTTTTTTTTTTTTAAGAAATTAAAGGAGTGTAATCTGCTTATCCTGAGTACAGTGGACCCCCGGTTTACGATATTATTTCATTCCAGAAGTATGTTCAGGTGCCAGTACTGAGCGAATTTGTTCCCATAAGGAATATTGTGAATTAGATTAGTCCATTTCAGACCCCCAAACATACACGTACAAACGCACTTACATAAATGCACTTACATAATTGGTCGCATTGGGAGCTGATAGTAAAGCGGGGGTCCACTGTAATTTATGTGCTTATTGTAGCTTAGATGATGTTAGAGCACCTTGCTGATTGTTCCTATGTTTTTATTCTTTGTATTTTTTTTTTTTTTTTTTTCAACAAGTCGGCCGTCTCCCACCGAGGCAGGGTGACCCAAAAAAAAAAAAGAAAATCCCCAAAAAGAAAACACTCTCATCATCATTCAACACTTTCACCACACTCACACATTATCACTGTTTTTTATTCTTTGTATTCTAATGAATTAGACATTTGTGCAACACTTTTGTATTTTTATTGTGGAAGTGTTTTGCCAACCAGTGGCTTCCTCAGTCTCATACGGAGAAGAAAGGTTGAAGATCAGGAGGAGTTTGAGGTAATCAGTCCTTCAGCCTGGAGTCAGTGTGACTGACAAATCACATCACATTAGTCCATCAATCCTGGTTGATTGATGGACTCCTTGAGCCTGGAGTCATATGATGAGTTCATCAATCAACCAGGATTGATGGACTAACGTGATGTGATCAGTCAGTCACATTGACTCCAGGCTGAAGGACTGATTACTTTAAATACCTTCTGATCTTCAACCATTCTTCTCTGTATTGGACTGAAGAAGTCAGTAGTTAGCAAAACACTTGCACAGTAAAGACGCCCAAGCGTTGCACAAGTGTCAAATTTATCATCCTGTCGGCTCCCTGAATCATTT